CAAGAATGCATGAGCGAAACTCACCCTCACGATCAGAGTGGAGACAGGAGACACGACGGCCACGACTACCCTCAGTGGCTAGAAGCCACCGGATCAGCGTAGAAGTCACCTCGGACTTCTTCGCGAGAGGAAACACCGTGGTGTACCTGGAGAAGTTGTCGACGACCACCAGAAAGTAGCACTCCCTCTCAGGTCCCTATGTAGATGCAGGACCCCAGACATCCAAGTGGAGTGTCTGGAAGGGGGCAGTGGCCGGACGAAGGGAGGAGGAGTGCGGAGTGGCACGACGACGGCCGGCGACGCAAGGAGTGCACGGCGGTGCAGGCGAGGGAGGGAGCGACGGGAAGACTCTAAGGAGACCCGTGACAAGACGATGACTGGCCATAGTACGGAGGTGGGGGATCGACGGGTGACCAAGACGGTGGTGCCACAAGACTGTCCGGTGGGTGAAAGACCGACAGGAGAAAGACGCTGCAACCTGACCAGACGCGACAACCGGAGGAGACGCAGTAACCTGACCGGACACAGCAACCTGTGGGGACACAGTAACCTGACTAGACTCTGCTACCAGGGGGGACGAAGCAACCTGACCACACGCAGCTACCTACGGGGGCGGAGTGTGCAGGACGAAGAGACCTGAGTGCGGCTCTCTGGTGAACGTGGCAAGAACTGCCCCGGTGGAAGAGTCCGTACAGATCGCAGTCCTCCCGTGCGCAGGAAAAGTGACTGTGATCCCACGGTCCTGAAGGTATCCAACACCCACCAAGTTCCGAGAGAACGAGGGGATGTAGAGACCAGTGAGGAAACCAGAGGGGACATCTGGGCACGGAAGAGTGGTCGAGCTGCGAGCAACTGCTGGTCCTGAAGTAGGATCAGCCAGGGCAACTGGGACTGGAGCCGAAAGAGGTGTGACAGTGGTATGGTCGCGGAATAAACACTGAGACGCGCCGGAATCCAGCGTGAAGGAGAGCGACGCAACAGCAGTCGTCACGGCTGGGCTAGTGACTAGACAAGCACCTACACTAAAAGCACAAGTACCTACACTAGCAACAGGCAAAGGTCCCAAGCTAGGTACACGCAAGCCAAGAGATCCATACGTGACAGAATAAACAGCATCCACAGACATATCAAACACACGAAACCCACTACGAACCAGACCGGGCCAGATCGGGGGAGCCGACTCAGACCCAAAACGCTCACGGTAGAGGTCGTCGAGACGGCTGTAGCAGCGCTGTGCAGACTGGTCAGGACGCCAGCAGATAGTGCCAGCACCAGGGCCGGTCAGGATCCGGTACTGGCAGGGGCCCACGTCACGGCCACCGCGACGAGCCTCCAAGCTGGCTGGGCCGCTGCTGCAGCCAACGCTACCCGAACCACCAGGCCCCCAAGGCTGCTGAGGGCGCCACAGCTGCCGAGGGCAGAGCTGCTGCTGAGGGCGCCACTACTGCTGCGGGTGCCACTGCTGCTGTGGGCGCCACTGCTGAAACTGCCGTTGCTGCTGTCCCTGCTCCTAGAGAACCCTAGTGGACGCCATGATAAAGGCTAAGAGCGACAGGTGAAACTAGGCAAGGAACAGCTGGAGCATGGAGCAAACTGAGCTAGGAGCGAGGAGCGAGAATGACTGGAGCTAGAACGACTGGAGCGAGAACGGCTGGAGCTAGAACGGCTGGAGCAAGAACGTCTGGACCTAGGCACGGCTGGAGTTGGGAGTGGCTGGAGCTAGAACGGCTGGAGCTAGAGACTGTAAGTGCGGCTGTCGGCTGCCGCTAGTAGGGCCACTGGCAGTGGAAAGTATGTGCGACAGTAGGGGCTGCAGTGCAGAGGACTGCGGGATATAGGGAACTGTGCAGGTCGTCGAGCAAGTAGGAACGCGGGCGACAATTGCAGCCCCAAACCCTTTTTTTTTTTGGTTTAATTGATTAAATTATTTTCTGGTGCTAAAGCGCTGCAGGGCGCGCTACCCGCGGGGCGTGTCAGAATGTGATGGTTGTCTAGCCTGCAGTGGGGTACTTTATAGCGAGTACAGCCCTTCTAGGGTTTGCTATATGTATCCCTATGCTTGTTAGTGAAAACCCCTCTTGCCTGTTTTCTTGATGGCGCCTAGTATTTCGACATGCTATCAGAGCAGGTCGACCCTCCTGGGTCGATCCTGTGGGTGGTCCCGCCCGTTAGCTTCCGCTGCTGTTCTGTGTGTCGCGCGCCCCGTGGCGCGCGACGGATTTTTCTTCCCGCCACGCGCTCGGGGCGCGCGGCGGTTTTCTGCCCACAGTGCGCCCCGAGGCGCGCGGCGGTTTTCTGCCCCGTCGACCGTGGTGTTGCCCCCAGGTTCCCGACGCGTCGCCCCGCAAGCCCGTCGCGTCGCCCCCAGGAGCCCGTCGCGTCGCCCCGCAGGCCCGTCACGTCGCCCCCGGGAGCCCGTCGCGTCGCCCCGCAGGCCCGCGCGTCGCCTCCCCTTCCCGTCGCCCGTCGCGGCGCCCTGGGGGCCCGCGGGCCGCCCTATCCCGTCGCCCGTCGCGGCGCCCTGGGGGCCCGCGCGTCGCCCCCTCCCGTCGCCCGTCGCGGCGCCCTGGGGGCCCGCGCGTCGCCCCCTCCCGTCGCCCGTCGAGGCGCCCTGGGGGCCCGCGAGCCGCCCTACCCGGCGCCCGTAGCAGCTCCCCAGGGACCCGCGCCCCGCCCCCCTTCCGCTCGCACGCCGCCCCTACGCGCCGCCTGCGTTTAGGGTTTGGGGGTGGCGGGTATGGGGGTGTCGGATGTGTGTGCCGTCCCCTGCTCCTCCTCCTCCTCTGTCTCCCACTGCTGCAGCTGCCGCTGAGGGGGGTGGGTGTGTGGGAGCCGAGGGAGTGGCGCTAGGGGGGTGTCGTGGGAGTGGAGCTAGGGGTGCAGCAAGGGGGTGTGTGAAAAGGGGGTGGGACAGCTGGGGGAAGTTGAGTGGAGGTCGTCGACTTGTCGTCCGCAGCGCCTGAAGTCCAGAGAGCCACGACCCCCTGTGGCCGTGTAGTCCGGGGCTCTGCGCCCGGTAGCCACAGTGTGTGCACTCCTGGGAGCACAGCGAGCCAGCTGCGACCCCCTGTCGCCGTGTAGTCCGGGTTTAGCCTGGTAGCGACAGTGCGGCGCACTCCTGCTGCCCGTGTGTCTGCAGCTTCAGCCGTCGCCTCCCATCTTCTCGCCTCCACAGTTTCTCCTCCTCCTCACTTGCCCTCTGTGATAGCCTCTAGCTTTGCTTGTATTTGTGAACCTACTGCTCTGCCTGCTTGTTGTGTTGATTGTACCCCACTTTGACTATGGGGGTGTGTCAGAATGTGATGGTTGTCTAGCCTGCAGTGGGGTACTCTATAGCGAGTACAGCCCTTCTAGGGTTTGCTATATGTATCCCTATGCTTGTTAGTGAAAACCTCTCTTGCCTGTTTTCTCGATTGCGCCTAGTATTTCGACAGGACGCACTACCCGCGGAGGCGCGGAGGTGTGGTGAGCACGGGCTGGGCGTGGCGGCGCGGAGGCTGCGGCGACAGGCTAGGGCGCATGCTGGGGCGACGGGCTAGGGCGCAGGTTGGGGCGACGGGTTCGGTCGCAGGCTGGGGTGACGATTAGGTCGCGGGCTGGGGCGACAGGCTAGGGCGCGGGCTGGGGCGACGGGCTAGGGCGTGGGCTGGGGCGACGGGCCAGGGCGCGGGCTGGGGCGACGGGCTAGGGCGTGGGCTGGGGTTAAGGAGCAGGCTAGGCACAGAGGGCGTGGAGGGCGCTAGGGCGCGGAAGGCGCGAGAGCGCGGAGGGCGCGGAGGGATCTATGGCGCAGAGGGCGCGGAGGGCGCGGAGGGCGCAAGGGCGCTAAGGGCGCGGAGGGCGCGAGAGCGCGGAGGGCGCAGAAGGATGTAGGGCGCGGAGGGCGCTAGGGCGCTAAGGGCGCGGAGGGCGCGAACACGAGCTAGGCTAGGCTAGGAAACGAACCTAACTGATACCATCTCAAAGTAGGAACACAACGGAATGTGTGAACTGGGGAAAGAAGGGATACAAATAGCAACCCTAAAACTGTTGTACTCCCTAGAGTGCTACTCATTGTAGCCTAAAAACCTATAATAACATTTGACAAAAACAAAGCTGTGAAAATGCAATCAAACTCTGTTCAGAGGACCTGTTACTTGGTCAGAGCATGACACATCATCAGTAGGTGGTGCAAACAAGTTGTAAAATGAGGGTATTTTTGTCGATAGTACAAAAAAGCCGGAAAATGACAGGGGGGTTGTTATGTGCAAGCCTAGAGTGACCAAATATGGAAAAATCAACATTTGTGCCAAAAAAACCATAACATGCCAGTTTGTTGAAGACATCTAGGGAATCTTCAGAATTTATGTTATGGGCAAAATCACCCACTAGATTCACAATTAGGTGATCTCAAAATTCTATAGGCTAATACTTAACATCGACCAAGAGACGCATCTCGTTGCAGTAATTTGTCACATGTTCGACTACAAGATCAAGATATAGCATGACTAAGTTTGGCAACAAAAAAACCTGCTTGAAATAAATAATCCACATGGGGGATTATGGTTTCACATATTTAACAGTATGTGGGAGATCTGAAAAAGAATTGTATAAGCAAAATACATATTACAGAGTCTGAGTGCAGAACACGCGTCCTCTGCGACGATCCCTTTCAAAGGCCGTCAGCCAGCCGGTAACTCGGCTTGCGACACTTCGCCTGCGCCATCCGGGGGGGATGAATTTATGGTAATTTCGTATCCCGTGTCAGACACAAAGCTAGACACGAAGTTGAGGTTCGGAAAACCCGAAGTGGTTCGTTTGTGGGGAGATTGGAAGTTCGGAAGAGACAAATTGGAGACTAAGGGCTGATGACTTCAGGTCTGACACGGGATACGAATATCCCTAGGGTCTCCTACCTCTGCGACCAGGACTGACGCAAAAGCCGCAACAATTTTGTTGATATAGCTGCTTTCGCGGACTTAGCAGTCTCGCCACATCAGCAGCTCCGCCAGGTCGCCGCCATGGCTGACGTGGCGGTGCATCAGTTCAACAACATCCTCCTCGGCGGCCGCGGCGCTCTGGCAAGTACTTCTGCGCCCGCTCCTCGCGCTGATCCTCTCCATGCCAGCCTCTCCCGCTCGCCTTCCTTCCCCCAACTCCCTCCGCTGCTCCCCGTTCTCGCGCTTTTGCAAAAATTTCGTGGCTTGGCGAATTCCTCGTGGTTTCGCGAACCTCCCATGCCTTCGCGAGACCCTCGTGCCTCCGCGATATTTCATGCCTTTGCGAACTCATGAATTAGCGGATCCCTCTTCCCCGCGCAGACCCCGGGGCAGCTGCGCGTGCACACGGGCGGGCTGGCGTGGCGGAAGCTGGGCGGGGGGAAGCAGGTGGACGTGCAGCGCACGGACATGGCGGGCGTGGTGTGGATGCGCGTGCCGCGCGGGTACCAGCTGTGCGTGCGGCTGAAGGCGGGCGGCAAGGTGAAGTTCAACGGCTTCACCAAGGCTGACGTGGACGCGCTCTCGCCGTTCCTCGCCTCCACGCTCGGCTTCCAGCCGCGCAAGAGCGAGCTCGCCACCAGCGGCCGCAACTGGGGCGACGCCGAGATCGAAGGTACCCTCCACCACCGCACCGCACCGGGCTGCACTACAGCGCGCGGTGCTGTGCGGGCAAAAGGAGGGAAGGGAGAGGGGGTTGATCTGGCTTTCCGCTGCTTCGCCCTCTGCTGCGTCCGCTTGGCCCTGAGCTCCCGCCATGTAGTCTTGTTACCCATGCCCTCGTGTCACGTGCTGTTTGATGTTTCCCATGCTCTGCTGCACCCATGCACGCACACCCATGCAGGCACGATGCTGGGATTCCAGGTGGGCGGCAAGCAGGCCTTCGAAATCTCCATTGCTGACGTGTCACAGACACAGCTGTCAGGGAAGAACGACGTGCTGCTGGAGTTCCACGTGGACGACACCGCCACTGCTGCTGAGGTGCGCTGACATGGCAAGTGCTTGCTTTGTATGCTGATGTGGCATGTATCTAAGTTGCGAGTTCAAATGCAAGTGGCATGTTGGTTTCGTGAGAGGGGCTGGCAGCAGCACGATTGCCACTTCAACCATTTCCAGAGTGCTGTTTCGTCTGCCGTAACCGTGTGCATGTGTGTGCCTCTGTGTGTGTGCATGAATGTGCCTCTGTGTGTGTGCATGAGTGTGCCTCTGTGTGTGTGCATGAGTGTGCCTCTGTGTGTGTGCATGTGTGTGCCTCTGTGTGTGTGCATGTGTGTGCCTCTGTGTGTGTGCATGTGTGTGCATGAGTGTGCCTCTGTGTGTGTGCATGTGTGTGCCTCTGTGTGTGTGCATGAGTGTGCCTCTGTGTGTGTGCATGTGTGTGCCTCTGTGTGTGTGCATGTGTGTGCCTCTGTGTGTGTGCATGTGTGTGCCTCTGTGTGTGTGCATGTGTGTGCCTCTGTGTGTGTGCATGTGTGTGCCTCTGTGTGTGTGCATGTGTGTGCCTCTGTGTGTGTGCATGAGTGTGCCTCTGTGTGTGTGCATGTGTGTGCCTCTGTGTGTGTGCATGTGTGTGCCTCTGTGTGTGTGCATGTGTGTGCCTCTGTGTGTGTGCATGTGTGTGCCTCTGTGTGTGTGCATGTGTGTGCCTCTGTGTGTGTGCATGTGTGTGCCTCTGTGTGTGTGCATGAGTGTGCCTCTGTGTGTGTGCATGAGTGTGCCTCTGTGTGTGTGCATGTGTGTGCCTCTGTGTGTGTGCATGTGTGTGCATGAGTGTGCCTCTGTGTGTGTGCATGTGTGTGCCTCTGTGTGTGTGCATGTGTGTGCCTCTGTGTGTGTGCATGTGTGTGCCTCTGTGTGTGTGCATGTGTGTGCCTCTGTGTGTGTGCATGTGTGTGCCTCTGTGTGTGTGCATGTGTGTGCCTCTGTGTGTGTGCATGTGTGTGCCTCTGTGTGTGTGCATGTGTGTGCCTCTGTGTGTGTGCATGTGTGTGCCTCTGTGTGTGTGCATGTGTGTGCCTCTGTGTGTGTGCATGTGTGTGCCTCTGTGTGTGTGCATGTGTGTGCCTCTGTGTGTGTGCCTGTGTGCCTCTGTGTGCCACGGTGTGCATGCGGCACTGCATCACCGCACGTGCATCACAGAAGGACATGTTGGTGGAGATGAGTTTCCACGTACCAACGTCCAACACCACCTTCGTTGGCACCGACGACAAGCCCTCCGCACAGGTCAGCCACGCAACGCCCCCACACTCAAGCCCTCCCCACAGGCAAGCCCTCCCCACAGGCAAGCCCTCCCCACAGGCAAGCCCTCCGCCCAGCCAAGCCCTGCCACTCCCTATCTTTCTGCACTGCCACTCCCCGTTGCCGTTGTTGCTAGCCCACCTACCCCTTCACGCACAGCTGTCTCATGCGCACGCCATCCCTTGCCTCAGGCCGCCAGGCACTGCCAGGCGGATCAAGCATGCGCCCATGTCCCCTCCCCGTGCGTGCCATGCACCATGGCATGGCACCACGATATGCCCCCTGTGCACTCGCCGTCACAGCACTCTCTCCCCGGCTTGGATGCGCCACCACGCCACGCTTCCTCCCCCTTGTTGTCGTGCGCTGTCCCCATGCCACCCCTGGCCCCACCAGATATTTCAGGAGCAGATCCTGGCGCGCGCGGACGTGGGGCCGTCGGGCGACGAGGCGGTGGTGGAGTTTGAGGGCGTGCACATCCTCACGCCCAGAGGCCGCTTCAAGGTCGAGCTGCACGTCACACACGTGCGCCTGCAGGGCATGGCTGTCGACTTCAAGATCCAATACAAGAACCTCGCCCGCCTCTTCGTGCTGCCCAAGGTGCGCCTCTTCGTGCTGCCCAAGGTGCGCCTCTTCGTGCTGCCCAAGGTGCGCCTCTTCGTGCTGCCCAAGGTGCGTTCCTGCATGCATCGGCACCTGAGGTCCTTTCCAGGACAGGTGTTGCCGTGGCAGGGCAGGCGGGCAGCAGTGCAGCCTGCAGGGCATGGCCGTTGACTTCAAGATTCAGTTTTAAAACCCCGCTCGCCTCGTCGTGCTGCCCAAGGTGCGCCTCTTCGTGCTGCCCAAGGTGCGCCTCTTCGTGCTGCCCAAGGTGCGACGCCATAGGCTGCTGCCATTGCCAGAAATGCGTTGCAGTGCAGCAGCAGCCCACATGATGCCATGGCACAGCAGCCCACATGATGCCATGGCACAGCAGCCCACATGATGCCATGGCACAGCAGCCCACATGATGCCATGGCACAGCAGCCCACATGATGCCATGGCACAGCAGCCCACATGATGCCATGGCACAGCAGCCCACATGATGCCATGGCACAGCAGCCCACATGATGCCATGGCACAGCAGCCCACATGATGCCATGGCACAGCAGCCCACATGATGCCATGGCACAGCAGCCCACATGATGCCATGGCACAGCAGCCCACATGATGCCATGGCACAGCAGCCCACATGATGCCATGGCACAGCAGCCCACATGATGCCATGGCACAGCAGCCCACATGATGCCATGGCACAGCAGCCCACATGATGCCATGGCACAGCAGCCCACATGATGCCATGGCACAGCAGCCCACATGATGCCATGGCACAGCAGCCCACATGATGCCATGGCACAGCAGCCCACATGATGCCATGGCACAGCAGCCCACATGATGCCATGGCACAGCAGCCCACATGATGCCATGGCACAGCAGCCCACATGATGCCATGGCACAGCAGCCCACATGATGCCATGGCACAGCAGCCCACATGATGCCATGGCACAGCAGCCCACATGATGCCATGGCACAGCAGCCCACATGATGCCATGGCACAGCAGGCAGGCAGCTTGCAGGGTTGCCGCCTGTTTAACCGCGCCTGCTGCGACATACCATGCGCAATGCTCAGTGCTGCTGTCATAAGGGCTTTCTGCCACATCCATGCCGTGCCACTTCCAACCTCCAACGCCTCTCTGTGTCCGTGTCTGTGTGTGTGTCTGTGTGTGTGCTGTGCCATACGCCCTGCAGGCCAACCAGCCGCACACCTTCGTTGTTGTCACACTCGACACGCCCATCCGCAAGGGCCAGACGCTCTACCCTCACATCGTGCTGCAGGTGCGCCCCACCCCTCTCAACCACATTTCACCACATCGCACCCAACATTCTCTAACCTTGTACCATGATTGGATTCATGTTGCATGCACTGTGACATTCCACATCCCCTCATCCCCCCATGCCCCTCTCTACATGTCTCTTCTTTGTGTGCGCCTGCCTCATGTGCTGCCCTCTGCCTCTGCCGTTCCGTATGTGTGTGCGCCCACCCCCGTGGCCCGTGCCATGCGCATGAGGGCAGTTCCCCAACGAGGAGACGTTTGAGGGCGGGCTGGCGCTGAGCGACGAGCTGCTCACCACCAAGTACAAGGACAGGCTGCAGCCCGTGTACAAGGTGAGGACAGGCTGCAGCCCGTGTACAAGGTGAGGACAGGCTGCAGCCCGTGTACAAGGTGAGGACAGGCTGCAGCCCGTGTACAAGGTGAGGACAGGCTGCAGCCCGTGTACAAGGTGAGGACAGGCTGCAGCCCGTGTACAAGGTGAGGACAGGCTGCAGCCCGTGTACAAGGTGAGGACAGGCTGCAGCCCGTGTACAAGGTGAGGACAGGCTGCAGCCCGTGTACAAGGTGAGGACAGGCTGCAGCCCGTGTACAAGGTGAGGACAGGCTGCAGCCCGTGTACAAGGTGAGGACAGGCTGCAGCCCGTGTACAAGGTGAGGACAGGCTGCAGCCCGTGTACAAGGTGAGGACAGGCTGCAGCCCGTGTACAAGGTGAGGACAGGCTGCAGCCCGTGTACAAGGTGAGGACAGGCTGCAGCCCGTGTACAAGGTGAGGACGCGTCTCCTGAACGCCGATCGCAGGATCAATCCTACGTAGGATCGAATTTTTGCGTGGTTTAATTAACAGCTAGAAATATTCACTGCGATGCGCGTAGTTTTAATGCGGTGGAAGATCGATTTTTGACGATCGATCGCAGGATCGGCGTTCAGGAGACGCGTCCTGAGGACAGGGGGCAGCCCTTGTACAAGGTGAGGACAGGGTGTGGGAAGTGAGAGGGACAAGACGGAGAGGGAGAAAGAAATGAGGTGAGGTCATGAGAGCGCCGCATGCACCAGCCAGCACTTGTCACATGAAGAGCCTTAACTGTACCTTTTAGAAGGTTGTAATTAACTAGAAGCCCGCTGATATGCTGACACCTACAGCACCAGTACCAGCACCGGCAACAACAAAAGCAACAGCGGCAGCAGCAGCAGCAGCAGTAGCAGCAGCAACACCAGAAGAGCAAGCGCACCACTGGTGGCTGGTCCTTCCAATCACCGCTGGTGCCAAGGGTGGGAGGACCACTCACAAAGTGGCGACGAATGTGGTTGCTCGACCAATCAATGATTAGAAGCTCCATTTTACAAGGGTGGATGGTCATTCAACCACGCACCCCCTGCTCCTCCTGCTGATGCCTCTGCCCAGAGCACTCTGTGTGTGTTCACCCCACTACTCCCCGCTGCCTCTGTCCTTTGCGCTCTCTTCCTACCCGCTCACTCAACTAAATGAGCCAATGCTTCTAAGCCTACTTGTACCTCCACTGTCATACCACACCATGTGTCCCCATCACATCGCATGTAACCCCCCGGCCTCGCTTGCCCCCCGCCTCGCTTGCCCCCGGCCTCGCTTGCCCCCCGCACGCAGGGTCTGGTGCACGAGGTGTTTGCGCAGATCCTGAGGGGGCTGTCGGGCGCCAAGGTGACGCGCCCGGGGTCGTTCCGCAGCAACAGTGACGGGTACGCGGTGCGCACGTCGCTCAAGGCGGAGGAGGGCTACCTGTACCCGCTCGAAAAGAGCTTCTTCTTCCTCCCCAAACCGCCCACCCTCGTGCTGCATGACGAGGTGCGCGTGTGCGGGGGGATGGGGCAGGGGAGAGGGGAATCGTAGAGGGGGAGGGGGAGAGGAGGGTGTGGACAGTGGAAGGAGGGGTGGAGGAGGGGAAAAGGGTGTGTGAATGAAGGGTTTGGGTTTGGTGTGATGTGAGATGTGAGTGGGGGGTGTATTTGTTTGGTGAAGTTATTGGGAGTTGGCAGGGGAATGGCAGGGGAATGGCAGGGGAAAGTGTTGTGGTCATGGGGAAAGTGTTGTGGTCATGGGGAAAGTTTTGTGGTCATGGGGAAAGTGTTGTGGTCATGGGGAAAGTGTTGTGGTCATGGGGAAAGTGTTGTGGTCATGGGGAAAGTGTTGTGGTCAACGAGGGGGGAAGGATGGTGGGAGGGAGGGAGGGGGTAAACGAGGTGAATGGAAAAAGGGGGGGTGGCAGGAGCCATGGGAGAAGGGGGAGAGGGAGGGAGGGGCTTTTGGTCTTCGATGAGCTGCCTCGTGTGTGTCGCTTGCTGTTAGCGCCGGTGCTGCATCTGAGCTTCACACTCCTGGGCTATACGGCCCACCGTTGTGTGTGTGCACCCCCCGCCCATGGCCACCACATGCCACGTGCCCCATAAACCCCACTTGCCTCCTCTGCTCGCCATTCCCCCACTCCCCTCCCCCTCCCCCTCCCCCTCCCCCTCCCCCTCCCCCTCCCCCTCCCCCTCCCCCTCCCCCTCCCCCTCCCCCTCCCCCTCCCCCTCCCCCTCCCCCTCCCTCTCCCCCCCCACCAGGTGGAGTACGTGGAGTTTGAGCGGCACGGCGCGGGCACGAGCAGCATCTCGTCGTCCTACTTCGATCTGGTCATCCGCCTGCGCAGCGAGCAGGAGCACCAATTCCGCAACATCCAGCGCAACGAGTACCACAACCTCTTCTCCTTCTTCAGGTGCCAGTCTCTTCTCCTTCAGGTGCCAACCTCTTCTTCTTCAGGTGCCAACCTCTTCTTCTTCAGGTGCCAACCTCTTCTTCTTCAGGTGCCAACCTCTTCTTCTTCAGGTGCCAACCTCTTCTTCTTCAGGTGCCAACCTCTTCTTCTTCAGGTACCAACCTCTTCTTCTTCAGGTACCAACCTCTTCTTCTTCAGGTGCATGCCTCCCCACCTCATATCACAGCTCATATTGCAGTTGTGTGCTGCTGCATTCCATGCAGGTGAGGTGACAGCACTGTGGTGCACCAGTTCACAACCAGTGCCCTTGTGTACCGTGTTTCCCTCTCATCTGCATCTCTCTGCCACGTGTTTGAAGAAGTGTTTTGAGACGTCTCAAAACACTTCTTCAAACAACCAGTGCCCTTGTGTACCGTGTTTCCCTCTCATCTGCATCTCTCTGCCACACCCTGTGCACCGCTGCTCTGTCTCACGCGCCTCCTGCCATCGCACCCACCACCACTTCATCCCCTCACCTTATCGCCCCTTCCAATCATCTGTTTTCTCGTCTCAGGGTGCCTGCAATGAGCTCGTTCCGCCGAGCTCTCTCTCCTCAATGCACATGCGTGTACCCCACCCAACCGCCCATCTTCCCCTCCCCCCAGTGAGAAGCGCCTCAAGATTCTCAACCTCGGCGACTCGCATGCAGCAGCTGCGGCAGGCGCGGAGGCGGGGGCGGGCGTGGGGGGCGTGGGGGTGGGCGGAGTGGACTCGGACGACGATGCGGTGGACCCGCACCTCAACCGCATCCGCGCAGGGGGGGCTGATGAGAGCGATGAGGAGGTGCGTGGTTTAGGGTTAAAAGTTTCGGTTCACTGGTTTAGGAACTGTGATAATGTTCGCACGAGGGAAAGGACATGAGGGGGTAGATGTGGGGGAGCGAGGGATGGTGGATTGAGTGGGCGGCGTGGCGTGGACTCGGATGACCATGCCGTGGACCCTCGGCTCACCTCGACCGTATCGCGCTGGGGGGGCTAAAGACAGCGATGAGAAGGTGGGCACAGGGCGGCAGGGAGGACGAGGGGACATGTGGTGGCAGAGGAGGGCAGAGAGGGATGTGCGGTTGGGTGCTTGTAGAAATCCAATAGCCATGCTCTTCATCCCGCCATGCTCTTCATCCCACCATGCTCTTCATCCCACCTTGCTCTTCATCCCACCATGCTCTTCATCCCACCATGCTCTTCATCCCGCCATGCTCTTCATCCCGCCATGCTCTTCATCCCACCATGCTCTTCATCCCGCCATGCTCTTCATCCCGCCATGCTCTTCATCCCGCCATGCTCTTCATCCCACCATGCCATGCTTCTCCTCCAATGAGCCAGCTTTCTATGCTTCTCACCCCCGCTTGGTGTTTCGTGCGGGTGGGGCCGGGCAAGGACGAGGACGGGGGGGGGCTTGCACTCCTCCATGTGCCATGCACATGCCTCACCTCCCCTCCCCCCCTTCACCGTGCTCCCCCCCTTCACCGTGCTCCCCCCCTTCACCGTGCTCCCCTCTGCGCAGGACGAGGACTTTGTGGCGGGCAAGGACGACGACGATGGGGGCTCGCCGTCCGACTCGGACAGCAGCGGCAGCGGTGATGGCAGTGGCAGTGACAGCGACAGCGATGCCAGTAGGGCAGCCAATGAGGACGAGGAGGAGACCGCCAAGCGCAAGGTGCAACGGGGACAAACAGAGGGGGCTGGATTATGAGGGGGCTGGATGATGAGGGGGCTGGATGATGAGGGGGCTGGATGATGAGGGGGCTGGATGATGAGGGGGCTGGATGATGAGGGGGGAAAGGGCGAGTGTCAGGGGTGGGAGTGTTCGATTCTGGCCCGTAACCCACTTGAGCTGGGCATTTCTTTTCCATCCACTTGCCCAGTCTTGGGAAAATGATATAGCCTTGGAAGATGTGCCTCTAGGAGCTGTGTGGAGTTGCCACAGCTTGTTTGGGGCTCGCTTGGACCGCGTTCAGGCAGGCAGTGCGGTCCTCCCCTCCCCACAACGTGCAGTGCCACGCCTCCCACAGCGATACACGCTGCCATGAAGGCGTAGGCGAGCAGTGGGGTTGAGGGTGCAAGCGAGCAGTGGGGTTGAGGGTGCAAGCGAGCAGTGGGGTTGAGGGTGCAAGCGAGCAGTGGGGTTGAGGGTGCAAGCGAGCAGTGGGGTTGAGGGTGCAAGCGAGCAGTGGGGTTGAGGGTGCAAGCGAGCAGTGGGGTTGAGGGTGCAAGCGAGCAGCGGGGTTGAGGGTGCAAGCGAGCAGCGGGGTTGAGGGTGCAAGCGAGCAGCGGGGTTGAGGGTGCAAGCGAGCAGCGGGGTTGAGGGTGCAAGCGAGCAGCGGGGTTGAGGGTGCAAGCGAGCAGCGGGGTTGAGGGTGCAAGCGAGCAGCGGGGTTAAGGGGGAAAGGGAGCAGTGGGGTTGAGGGTGCAAGCGAGCAGCGGGGTTGAGGGTGCAAGCGAGCAGCGGGGTTGAGGGTGCAAGCGAGCAGCGGGGTTGAGGGTGCAAGCGAGCAGTGGGGTTGAGGGTGCAAGCGAGCAGCGGGGTTGAGGGTGCAAGCGAGCAGCGGGGTTGAGGGTGCAAGCGAGCAGCGGGGTTGAGGCTGCAAGCGAGCAGCGGGGTTGAGGGTGCAAGCGAGCAGCGGGGTTGAGGGTGCAAGCGAGCAGCGGGGTTGAGGGTGCAAGTGAGCAGCGGGGTTGAGGGTGCAAGCGAGCAGCGGGGTTGAGGGTGCAAGCGAGCAGCGGGGTTGAGGGTGCAAGCGAGCAGCGGGGTTGAGGGTGCAAGCGAGCAGCGGGGTTGAGGGTGCAAGCGAGCAGCGGGGTTGAGGGTGCAAGCGAGCAGCGGGGTTGAGGGTGCAAGCGAGCAGCGGGGTTGAGGGTGCAAGCGAGCAGCGGGGTTGAGGGTGCAAGCGAGCAGCGGGGTTGAGGGTGCAAGCGAGCAGCGGGGTTGAGGGTGCAAGCGAGCAGCGGGGTTGAGGGTGCAAGCGAGCAGTGGGGTTGAGGGTGCAAGCGAGCAGTGGGGTTGAGGGTGCAAGCGAGCAGCGGGGTTGAGGGTGCAAGCGAGCAGCGGGGTTGAGGGTGCAAGCGAGCAGCGGGGTTGAGGGTGCAAGCGAGCAGCGGGGTTGAGGGTGCAAGCGAGCAGCGGGGTTGAGGGTGCAAGCGAGCAGCGGGGTTGAGGGTGCAAGCGAGCAGCGGGGTTGAGGGTGCAAGCGAGCAGCGGGGTTGAGGGTGCAAGCGAGCAGCGGGGTTGAGGGTGCAAGCGAGCAGCGGGGTTGAGGGTGCAAGCGAGCAGCGGGGTTGAGGGTGCAAGCGAGCAGCGGGGTTGAGGGTGCAAGCGAGCAGCGGGGTTGAGGGTGCAAGCGAGCAGTGGGGTTGAGGGTGCAAGCGAGCAGCGGGGTTGAGGGTGCAAGCGAGCAGCGGGGTTGAGGGTGCAAGCGAGCAGCGGGGTTGAGGGTGCAAGCGAGCAGCGGGGTTGAGGGTGCAAGCGAGCAGCGGGGTTGAGGGTGCAAGCGAGCAGCGGGGTTGAGGGTGCAAGCGAGCAGCGGGGTTGAGGGTGCAAGCGAGCAGCGGGGTTGAGGGTGCAAGCGAGCAGCGGGGTTGAGGGTGCAAGCGAGCAGCGGGGTTGAGGGTGCAAGCGAGCAGCGGGGTTGAGGGTGCAAGCGAGCAGCGGGGTTGAGGGTGCAAGCGAGCAGCGGGGTTGAGGGTGCAAGCGAGCAGCGGGGTTGAGGGTGCAAGCGAGCAGCGGGGTTGAGGGTGCAAGCGAGCAGCGGGGTTGAGGGTGCAAGCGAGCAGCGGGGTTGAGGGTGCAAGCGAGCAGCGGGGTTGAGGGTGCAAGCGAGCAGCGGGGTTGAGGGTGCAAGCGAGCAGCGGGGTTGAGGGTGCAAGCGAGCAGCGGGGTTGAGGGTGCAAGCGAGCAGCGGGGTTGAGGGTGCAAGCGAGCAGCGGGGTTGAGGGTGCAAGCGAGCAGCGGGGTTGAGGGTGCAAGCGAGCAGCGGGGTTGAGGGTGCAAGCGAGCAGCGGGGTTGAGGGTGCAAGCGAGCAGCGGGGTTGAGGGTGCAAGCGAGCAGCGGGGTTGAGGGTGCAAGCGAGCAGCGGGGTTGAGGGTGCAAGCGAGCAGCGGGGTTGAGGGTGCAAGCGAGCAGCGGGGTTGAGGGTGCAAGCGAGCAGCGGGGTTGAGGGTGCAAGCGAGCAGCGGGGTTGAGGGTGCAAGCGAGCAGTGGGGTTGAGGGTGCAAGCGAGCAGCGGGGTTGAGGGTGCAAGCGAGCAGCGGGGTTGAGGGTGCAAGCGAGCAGCGGGGTTGAGGGTGCAAGCGAGCAGCGGGGTTGAGGGTGCAAGCGAGCAGTGGGGTTGAGGGTGCAAGCGAGCAGTGGGGTTGAGGGTGCAAGCGAGCAGTGGGGTTGAGGGTGCAAGCGAGCAGTGGGGTTGAGGGTGCAAGCGAGCAGCGGGGTTGAGGGTGCAAGCGAGCAGCGGGGTTGAGGGTGCAAGCGAGCAGCGGGGTTGAGGGTGCAAGCGAGCAGCGGGGTTGAGGGTGCAAGCGAGCAGCGGGGTTGAGGGTGCAAGCGAGCAGCGGGGTTGAGGGTGCAAGCGAGCAGCGGGGTTGAGGGTGCAAGCGAGCAGCGGGGTTGAGGGTGCAAGCGAGCAGCGGGGTTGAGGCTGCAAGCGAGCAGCGGGGTTGAGGGTGCAAGCGAGCAGCGGGGTTGAGGCTGCAAGCGAGCAGCGGGGTTGAGGGTGCAAGCGAGCAGCGGGGTTGAGGGTGCAAGCGAGCAGCGGGGTTGAGGGTGCAAGCGAGCAGCGGGGTTGAGGGTGCAAGCGAGCAGCGGGGTTGAGGGTGCAAGCGAGCAGCGGGGTTGAGGGTGCAAGCGAGCAGCGGGGTTGAGGGTGCAAGCGAGCAGCGGGGTTGAGGGTGCAAGCGAGCAGCGGGGTTGAGGGTGCAAGCGAGCAGCGGGGTTGAGGGTGCAAGCGAGCAGCGGGGTTGAGGGTGCAAGCGAGCAGCGGGGTTGAGGGTGCAAGCGAGCAGCGGGGTTGAGGGTGCAAGCGAGCAGCGGGGTTGAGGGTGCAAGCGAGCAGCGGGGTTGAGGGTGCAAGCGAGCAGCGGGGTTGAGGGTGCAAGCGAGCAGCGGGGTTGAGGGTGCAAGCGAGCAGCGGGGTTGAGGGTGCAAGCGAGCAGCGGGGTTGAGGGTGCAAGCGAGCAGCGGGGTTGAGGGTGCAAGCGAGCAGCGGGGTTGAGGGTGCAAGCGAGCAGCGGGGTTGAGGGTGCAAGCGAGCAGCGGGGTTGAGGGTGCAAGCGAGCAGCGGGGTTGAGGGTGCAAGCGAGCAGCGGGGTTGAGGGTGCAAGCGAGCAGCGGGGTTGAGGGTGCAAGCGAGCAGCGGGGTTGAGGGTGCAAGCGAGCAGCGGGGTTGAGGGTGCAAGCGAGCAGCGGGGTTGAGGGTGCAAGCGAGCAGCGGGGTTGAGGGTGCAAGCGAGCAGCGGGGTTGAGGGTGCAAGCGAGCAGCGGGGTTGAGGGTGCAAGCGAGCAGCGGGGTTGAGGGTGCAAGCGAGCAGCGGGGTTGAGGGTGCAAGCGAGCAGCGGGGTTGAGGGTGCAAGCGAGCAGCGGGGTTGAGGGTGCAAGCGAGCAGCGGGGTTGAGGGTGCAAGCGAGCAGCGGGGTTGAGGGTGCAAGCGAGCAGCGGGGTTGAGGGTGCAAGCGAGCAGCGGGGTTGAGGGTGCAAGCGAGCAGCGGGGTTGAGGGTGCAAGCGAGCAGCGGGGTTGAGGGTGCAAGCGAGCAGCGGGGTTGAGGGTGCAAGCGAGCAGCGGGGTTGAGGGTGCAAGCGAGCAGCGGGGTTGAGGGTGCAAGCGAGCAGCGGGGTTGAGGGTGCAAGCGAGCAGCGGGGTTGAGGGTGCAAGCGAGCAGCGGGGTTGAGGGTGCAAGCGAGCAGCGGGGTTGAGGGTGCAAGCGAGCAGCGGGGTTGAGGGTGCAAGCGAGCAGCGGGGTTGAGGGTGCAAGCGAGCAGCGGGGTTGAGGGTGCAAGCGAGCAGCGGGGTTGAGGGTGCAAGCGAGCAGCGGGGTTGAGGGTGCAAGCGAGCAGCGGGGTTGAGGGTGCAAGCGAGCAGCGGGGTTGAGGGTGCAAGCGAGCAGCGGGGTTGAGGGTGCAAGCGAGCAGCGGGGTTGAGGGTGCAAGCGAGCAGCGGGGTTGAGGGTGCAAGCGAGCAGCGGGGTTGAGGGTGCAAGCGAGCAGCGGGGTTGAGGGTGCAAGCGAGCAGCGGGGTTGAGGGTGCAAGCGAGCAGCGGGGTTGAGGGTGCAAGCGAGCAGCGGGGTTGAGGGTGCAAGCGAGCAGCGGGGTTGAGGGTGCAAGCGAGCAGCGGGGTTGAGGGTGCAAGCGAGCAGCGGGGTTGAGGGTGCAAGCGAGCAGCGGGGTTGAGGGTGCAAGCGAGCAGCGGGGTTGAGGGTGCAAGCGAGCAGCGGGGTTGAGGGTGCAAGCGAGCAGCGGGGTTGAGGGTGCAAGCGAGCAGCGGGGTTGAGGGTGCAAGCGAGCAGCGGGGTTGAGGGTGCAAGCGAGCAGCGGGGTTGAGGGTGCAAGCGAGCAGCGGGGTTGAGGGTGCAAGCGAGCAGCGGG